TCGAACTCCTGAGCTCAAACAATCCGCCTGCCTCGGCCTCCCAGAGAGCTAGGATTACAGGCGTGAGCCACCGCGCCCGGCCCCTATAAAGCATCTTTAAAATATTTTTCTACTCTATTTTCAACAAAGTTACTCACAAAAACCTTTAGAACTTACTACATTGCTATAGAATGAAAAGTAAAATCAAGTTTATTGATAGACTGTTATATGACCAAAAGCATGAGAAACACAGGAGTCTAAGTATTCAACAGGAATACCAAATGCCAAATAAATGAATTTGCAAACACTATTACTTGACAGGAATTCAACACATAAGTTGAGTGCTCACTATGTCTAAAGCAAAGTTAGGCAGTATAGAGAGTATAAAAAGTAGACATATAGTCTTCCCTTCAAGGAGCTCACAGGCCATAAAAGGATAAAAAAACACCAAAATAACCATAATATAAGGTATGCTGTAAGTAAAATAAAATACATAAAAAGTGACTTGGAAGTTCAAAATATATCTGAATATAGAAGAATCAGGAAAACAGCATATAAGATAAGGTGTTACAAGCAGGGCTTAATAGGGCAAATTGAGGATATATAAATAACAGACATTGTTGTACCTCATCCTGAAACAAGTGAGAACTAAATAGCCAGAAAGTATTCATTGATCACCTGTTATTTGCTTGGCCCTGGGTTAGGTGCTACAGGTAAGAGAGAAGTGGTATCTACTACTTAACCCTAACTTCAATGAGTTTATGACCTAGTTGAGGAGAAAAAAACAGCATCCAAAAAAATAGTGGCCTATTTAATTAAGTGCTAGGTCATATGATTAGGTGCATTAAAAGTTCAGTTAGGCCTTGAAAACTGGAAAAATTACTCTTAATACTTACTTGGTTCCAGAATGCTCTCGAGCTTTTCGGGTGAAACAAACTTCTCCCAAGTATGAGTACCTTTTGGTACAATACCTGCAATTTGCTCTGAAAAAACAATTCCCAAGGCATAGGACAGTTGTGTTTTGTTGATTGTAGTAACGAATAAAGAGCCACCAGGCTAGAAGAAGTAAAATTGTACAGAAGTAGAATTTAAAGGTTATGCGTGTATCATTTAAGCTTGGCTTCCTCCTCCCTCCTCCTTCCTCCCAAATAATTTAAGTGCAGTTAAGATACTTAAGTATGAATAAAATATAATTTACCAAAACAGTATTGTTTTCTCTTGGGAAATTCATTATTAAAGGCATTTCAGATGCACTCACTAAGTTTATACAACAGTACTTACAACTCTTAAAATCATACATTACTATGATTTATATTTATATCATATGTATTCTTTTGTACATACCAAATACTTCATAATAAAAATATGGAAATGAGATCAGGCTGCTTTTCCTTGTCACATGTCCACATTCACGTCCTTATGTATGTCAGCATGGTTTTCTCTTCAAGTGCTGAGCCTGTCTAACTTGTTTGGTATAGCACAGAGCTACACATCTTGGGCAGGGAGCATGGTCAATAAATGTTTTCTGACAAAAGCGTCAACAATTAAAGTTTGAAAGTTTTTGCTTTGGCTTTGATTTCATTTGTATAAAGAACATAAAGACATCAAGATAAGCACTTAGATGAATGCAAACCACTTATGGGACCTTTAGTCTGCCATGTTTTAGTGACTATAATTTATGGGGTCTCCTATATTTAGTCTCACAAACGACGAGAACATTAATATTCCCTCCCTCTTCTATACATTCTCATTAGCCTGATAACAATGTCAAAGATTCCCTCCAAAATAATCATATTACCATAGACATAGAAAAAGAGAGAAAGAAGTGGGGGAGAAACAGATAATGTATCTCAAATACCACCCTGAACCAAAAATAAAAAAGAAAAGAGGAAGCCCTGACATATTGGAGTGTGCCCTTAAATTAAAAATAGAAATATCACACACTATATCATCACACATTTTAGCTTTTCTCTGTAAAACTCTGGTATTCTAAAATATTTTATTAAGAATCACTTATGAATATCTAATCTGTCTTCTACCAAATCATACTCTAAGGAAATGGTGGTAAGCAATGGTTTTTTTTTTTTTAAATATGGGCTTTCCATTTTCCATTAAGGTAAAATTTAGTTTTAAAACCACAATGCCAGCATTCTTCATATGTGTCAAAGAACCTCCATGCACACATACTGACTGACATACAACACAAAAACTAATAATTAAGGAGTTGTACTTGGAAAATAAGAGATAAGCCTAATAAAACTCCATTTAGGAGGAAACACCAAGAAACTGTCACATATTGAAGGAGACCAAGGAAACATAGCAACTAAATACATGTTAGTGTGGATTGGATCCTGTAACAGAAAAATGACACTAGCAAAAAATTAGTGAAATTTAAAAAGCTGTGTAGTGCAGTTAATAAGTATAATGCCAATGCTAACTTCTTAGTTTTGAGAACTGTACCAGGGGTTATGTACAAGGCTAAGACTATAATGAGACACGTGAGGCTCCTAGGGCACAGAACGGAAACAGGCGACCCCTTTCAGGCTGAGCAGGTGCAGGGTCGGCAGCTGAGAGGGAGTATCTCCTCCAATTTTGTGCCCTCGGTGCCTCGCTTCACTCATCCTAGCTCCTGCCTTTATGAAGTGAAATGTTAACATAAGGGCAAAAGAGTTACAACTCTTCTATAAATTTAAAATTACTTAAAGTTTTTCAAAAAAGCTCTATTTAGCCAGGCATGATCGCTCACTTCTGTAATCCCAGCACATTGGGAGGCCAAGGCAGAAGGATTGCTTGAGGCCAGGAGTTCCAGACCAGCCTGGGCAACATAACGAGACCCTGTCGTTACAAAAAATTTTTTTAAATGAGCTGGGTGCGGTGGCGCACGCCTGTAGTCCCAAGTACTTGAGAGGTTGAGCCAGGAGGACCCTTGAGACTGGAAGTTGAAGGTTGCAATAAGCTATGATCATGCCACTGCACTCTAGCCTGGGGGACCAAGCGAAACTCTGTCTTGAAAAATAAATAAATAAAAATAAAATTAAAAGCTCTACTTAGATAAGATCTAAGTATTTCATTCCTTTAGCTTTTGACCTTAGGTTGTTACCTCCTGAATATATAAACAACAAAGTCAATATGGTCATAATATTACTACAGGGATATTCATTAAAAGAAAATTAGAACCACATTCAGAGGACTAACAAGTCTGTGGCAAATTATACTGCATAAGTGTAAATAATGGGAAGAATTAAACTTGGAGTCAAATGATCTAGCCTTAAGCTCTACTTAAGAGCCTAGTGACTTCTGACGTAAAAGCCCAGTGACCTTTGACATCTCACAAATCCTGAGTCCTCATAGGTCAAAAGAGGTGATAATAATACCTGCCTTTCCTTCCTCACTTAGTTGTAGGTAAGATCAAATGTATGAAGTACTCTTTCATAAGCTGAAAACCGTTATACATGTATCACATACAGAGTTACTTATGCTATTTAAGTAAATTTATGCTAATAATTGTTTTTATTGATTTTTAACTATTAATCCAAATCAATTTATTGGTAATTGTCCTTCAATATCTATTAAGTATTTAATCCAGACTGTACCAATGGAAAAATACTGCTATAAATGTAAGGTTTTCCAATGCTCAGAATCAACATTTTTTGAGATCCCTGGTCATCAAGATACTAATAGGACACTGGAAAACCCTGGTATTGAGGGCACGCTGAGGGGCAGAAGTAATCTTCAGTAGAGATGCTGTCCCCTAACACTGGCCTCTTGGTTTCTTTTCTGTTATACCTTTCCTGCTGGACTGCTAATGTATTGTGGAACATTTTATTACTATGATGGATACATACACACCCTCAGAAGGAAAAAACCAAGAAGTAAAATCCGTCTTACTTTTAACACTTGACAGCAGTGCTGTAAAAATGTCTCTAGATCAAGCACATGTTCTACAACTTCAGAAGCTACGACAGCATCAAATGTTTCTGCAGTGTCTTCCACAATCTCTTCAAGGGAACATGCTCTGTACTCTATCCTCTGATCCAGGACTGGATCAAATGATTTATGGCACTGTGCTGTTTTAATGTTCTCATTCACAGGATCGATTCCAATAACCGAAGCCCCAAGCCGCCCTAGAGGCTAATGGCATAAAAAAACTGTTACTCTCAGGAAAAAAACAGAACACGTTAGCAATAAAAAGCTTATCAAAAAGGGAAAAAAACCCAAGATTAACCATGAGGTGATAATTACTGGAAAACACTTATGGGTATACAGAAATACATATACCATTTTCTCTAGTTTATATACATTTGAAATTTTCCATACTCAAAAGTTTAAAAGTGAGAACAATCAAAACAACAACAAAAAACTTACAGAGAACGATTTGACGCTGGGTGTGGCGGCTCAAGCCTGTAATCCCAGAGTTTTGGGAGGCTGAGCTGGGAGGATGACTTGAGGCCAGGAGTTCTGGACTACCTTGGGCAACATAGTGAGAACCCGTCTCTACAAAAAATATATTAAAAAAAATGAGCTGGGTTTGGTGGTGTGCACCTGCAGTCCCAACTACTTGGGAGGCTGAGGCAGGAGGATGACTTGAGCCTAGGTGTTCAAGGCTGCAGTGAGCTATGATCATGCCACTGCACTCCAGCCTGGGCAACAGAGTGAGACCCTATCTCAAAAAAAACCCAAAAACCAAAAACCACTTGAGAACAGTGAAAAAGTTTTTGTCTATATGCTCTAGGTATATTTACATGCATGTTGTACAGTATTAACATATTTAAAGTACAATCAATGTCACATGCCATTGTAAAAACCCAGCAATCATTTCTGAAATATTCAGATTTTCTAAAGAACAACTTTTTTCTCAATAGTTTTTTTCTGTGACTAACTAGAAATGATTCTTCATAGTTAATTATTTCTCTGTTTTTATATTCAATCACTTGTAATGGTATGCCCAAGTTTTTAAACACAGGCTTAATTTTAATCAAAACTTACACAGTGTTTACATTAAATAGGTTAGTCGATAAACTAAAAGTACAAATCACACTATTTTAGAGATGTAAGAATCTACAGTAACACACAGAGCAGATTACAAAACACATGTGGGCCGGGCGTGGTGGCTCAAGCCTATAATCCTAGCACTCTGGGAGGCAGAGGCGGGAGGATTGTTTGAGCTCAGGAGTTCGATACCAGCCTGAGCAAGAGCGAGACCTCGTCTCTACTAAAAAGAGAAAGAAATTACTAAAAAATAGAAAAAATTAGCCGGGCATGGTGGCGCATGCCTGTAGTCCCAGCTACTCGGGAGGCTGAGGCAGAAGGATCGCTTGAGCCCAGGAGTTTGAGGTTGCTGTGAGCTAGGCTGACGCCACGGCACTCTAGCCCAGGCAAGAGAGTGAGACTGTCTCGAAAACAAAACAAAAAAAAACACACATGGTAAAATCTTACTCATTTACAATTTGTACACCACATGTTCTTGACTCTGAGGGATGTATTTATACATATTTTAAGTTTCCTGAAATTTTATAATTGATGTCAAAAGAAATTCGCCCAGTATCAGGTAAAGAATACGTTTTTTTGTACATGTGAGAACCTGTGTATCGAAGGCCTCTTCGCCTCCCTGGCAACTTGGTTGAGGTATGGACCTTGACGGTACCACATCCCATTGAATTTTAGCTTACATTTGTATCCCATACTGTTGCTTAAAATATCTTTGAAAGACGAAATTATGGTGCAGTATTGGAAAAAAAAGTTCCTGTGTTGATAGAGGAATACAAAACAGAGCTTCAAGGCATGACTTCACTATAAGCTAAAGCGCACAGTCTTCACAGGAAGAATGACTACTCTTCCAAGTAGCTAAAGCACCTAGGAAGGGAAGAGCCATACAAGCAGGCGAAACCATTAGGTGTGTCGTTGAAACAAGTGCGAGAGGACAGCCTATCATTGTATTTAAACCAGTTGAAACTGCCTCATTTCTTGGGACAGAAGAGATGACAAGATTTTCAAGGCTATTTGAATAACCCATACCCCATTTTTATTTAAAAAAAAATCATTCAGTATAATTTTCTAAAATTTTTATTTTTTTAAAAAAGTGTTACGTCTGTAATCACAAGAAGATTAAAATCAACATTACGCATTTCTCTTTTTTAAATGAATAATATCATTTGTTGAAAGGATAAATGAGGCACAAGCCCACCTCTTAATTTTTTTTCCCAGTTAAAAATGGCAGGAAAGCCATAAGTCACTTACTTCAGTTAACAATCCACCACCACAGCCAACATCGAGAATCTTCATCCCAGACAAAGGTTTTCCTGGCTGGTGATTAGGAATTACTTTCAAAAGATTGTCTCTTTTTAAAAAAATTCAAAACATATAAAAAATCATTAATTTTATCGATGAAAAATCTTAAAAGTATACAATTTTTGAGGAAATATTAACTCCCATTTTAAATGGATTATGGATTTTTTTGATAAATAGATCTTTTATTCTCAGCATTAAACGACTTATATTTTATAAAACATTTTCAATAATCAAAAGCAGGAGGCTGAGTACTGCTCTGAAATAATCTAATAGTAATTATGACTCATTTACTGCTTTAGTAAAAATATAAAGAAAATAATTCAAAATAATCTGATTTAGATTAACCTAATTTTATTTGCTTGAGATATCATGGCACCTGAGACCCCTATTGGCTATGTTGTCGGTATCTGCTGGATCCATTTCATGTCAGCAACAAATAGGTTATTTTACAGGGTTTAGAAAAAGCAGATGGGAGACGTATATTTTCCGAATTTGTTTATATTCCCTTCAGAATTGGGTTTCTTTTAATTTTCTGTTAGTGGTGTTTTCATGAATGAGAATGTAAACAGGCATCTAAATCAAGTAAACTTAATTCTAAGATAATCATATTAATGAAACCACCTATAATAAAGTAATGTAAGGCCACAAGGCAAGAACTGTGGTAAAAGTCTAATATCTATAGACATATAGACATAGCTAAAAGTTAAGCAGCCATTGTTTCCTAGCTTGCCTTCCTATAACTGCTTACTGCTTAAGAGTCACATATCTTCGGTGCAAGATTTGTAACTTCCCCCATTGCTTCTATAGATAACACCACTATTGTAAAAGCTAAGACTGGTCTTTGAGATATCTTCCAGACTCTTCATTCGGGGAGACCAACTGACGCCAACCAGACCAATGGCCATGTGAGGGAACTGACTCAACAGGTCCTGTGACCCTCTACCTAGGAACTGTCTCAGCCAAGAAGACAATTTCTGCTTCCCAACCCTATGAGCTCATCCCCAGCCAATCAGCAGACCCAGGTTCCCTAGCCCTTTGTTGGCCTTTAAAAACCTAAGCCCCAAAATTCTCAGGGAGACAGATTGGAGAAATTTCTCCTGTCTCCTTGCTCAGCTCCCTGTGATATTAAACTCCTTCTCTGCTGCAACTCCTGCTGTCTCAGTGTATTGGCTCCCTCTTGGGCAGTGGGCAAGGGACCCTGTGGGTGGTAACAGGAATACTTTACCACACACACAAATTATGTACACATACAAACAAACACAGGTATATGTATGTATATATATATATATAACGGTATTGTAAACTAAACTAATTGGTCTATATGTGAATTTTAATTATACTTATATTGAAATACATATTATATAAAATGAGGATATCGTAGGATACCTTTTATTGCTATTAAAATTAATTGAATTTTAAGAATAACATGAATAGTGGTTAAGTAGATCACTCTCAAAAGTTATAATAAACAGAAAGGACCCATTACAAATGAAGTCTGACACATTCTTCAAACAGCAGCCAAAATGATTCCTTTATATCATAAGTTACATTATATCACTCTCCTTCTATGGCTTCCAATTATGCTCAAGATAAAATCTAAATTTCTAACTATAGTTTGCACTGCCCTGGGTTATCTATTTTACGTGATGTCTAGATAGATCTCACAATAGTTTGAATAAAGTAGTTCTCAAACTTAGTATGCATCAGAATCACCTGGAAAGTTTTCTAAAACAGACTGTTGACCTTCCACCCCCAGCAATAGGCCCCAAATGAGACCTGATTGTTAACAGAAAAAAACCCCAAACCCTGTAAAATAATTTAAGGAAGTTTATTCTGAGCCAGTATGAGTGACCATGGCCTTAGGATACACAAGCCCAAGATGCCTTGAATAAGTAAGTGGTCCTGAGGTGGTCTGGTTACAGTTTGGTTTTACACATTTTAGAGAAACGGGAATTGCAGGTAAAAGCATAAATCAATACATGGAAAGTATGTGTTGGTTTGGATTGAAAAGGCAGTACATCTCGGCCGGGCGCAGTGGCTTACGCCTGGAATCCTAGCACTCTAGGAGGCCGAGGCAGGAGGAACTCGAGACCAGCCTGAGCAAAAGCGAGACCCAATCTCTACTAAAAATAGAAAGAAATTAGTTGGACAACTAAAAATATATAGAAAAAAAATTAGCCGGGCATGGTGGTGCATGTCTGTAGTCCCAGCTACTCAGGGGGCTGAGGCAGGAGGATCGCTTGAGCCCAGGAGTTTGAGGTTGCTGTGAGCTAGGCTGAAGCCACTGCACTCTAGCACAGGCAACAAGAGTGAGACTCTGTCTCAAAAAAAAAAAAGAAAAGAAAAGGCAGTACATCTTGAAGTGGTGCTAATAGGTTATAGGTGGGTTCAGAAATTCTTTAATTTATAATTAGTTAAAGAAATAAAGCTTTGTCTAAAGGCTTGGAGTCATAGAAAGGAATGGTTTAAGATAAGGAAGACTGCTAATCACAGAACAAGCCACAATATACTGACTCAAACTGATCTGTTACCCAAAGTGATGGCCTATAGGCATGACTTAACCTTTGCCGTGCATGGCCTTAGGTCCTATTTGTAATTTAGTTTCTTATTGCCACAGTTCGTTTTGCCAGTCTTATGATCTCTATTTTAACATTAATGCTGGTCAGTTGTTGTGTCTAAACTCCAAAAGGGAGGAGGTATAAGGAAGAATGTCCAACCTCCCTTCCCTTCATGGCCAGGAACTCACTTTTAAGGTTTATCCAGGGTCCCCTAGACCAAGAGGGGGTCTGTTCAGAAGTGGGGTGGGAGCCTTAGGATTTTATTTTTAGTTTACATGCTAATTTGCATTTCTTTTTTAAAAATTTTTTTATTTTAAATTATTATGGGTACATAATAGTTGTATATATTTATGGGGTACATGTGATGTTTTGATTCAGGCATACAGTGTATAATAATCAAATGAGGGTAACTGGAGTATCTATCACCTCAAGCATTTATCATTTCTTTGTGTTAGGAACATTCCAGTTCCACTCTTTTAGTTATTTTAAAGTATACCTTAACTTATTGTTGACTATAGTCACTTTATTGTGCTATCAGATATTGCACATTCTAACTAACTATATTTTTGCACCCATTAACCACTCCCAATTTATCCCTCTCTTCCCGCTACCCTTCTCAGCCTCTGGTAACCATCATTCTCTAGCTTCATGAGATCAACTGTTTTAATGTTTAGCTCCCACATATTAGTGAGGATATGCAAAATTTGTCTTTCTGTGCTTGGCTTATTTCACTTAACATAATGTTCTCCACTTCCATCCATGTGTTGCAAATGATGAAATTTCATTCTTTTTTGTGGATGAATAATATCCCATTGTGTATATGTACCACATTCTCTTTATCCATTCATCTGATAATCTGCATTTCTAATGAGATCCTAGGTGATACTGATGCCACTGGTGCAAGGCCTACACTTTGTGAACCAGCGTTCTAGTGTAATAGAACAACATTCCTGCTTTTCTCTGTCTTAGTGGTTCAGCAATCCACAAATTCAGTGGTAATAAAAAGATGCCAATATTTCCCTTTTTGCTACGCTGATTCTGGATGAACTATAATAGCAAAAGTCAGTCAGGAAGTTTGATGAGGGCAGAGTCTGAGTCTGATATTCTATATTAATTAATTACACTACTTTGCCCATGTTGGCTGCTCAAAAATGTCCGTTTGATGAGTAAATAAATGGACAGAAGGACAAATGAACAATTTCTTAAAGGTAAGCCCGATGAACTCTTGCCTTTATTTATCTCCCACGGCAACCTATAATTTCCTGAAGCACAAGGATTATGTTTCATTCATCTCAGTATCTTTTACAGTCTAGCTCCTGAGCTCTGTACAAGGTAAGTTTTCAAAAAATTTTGTTGAATCAAACTGTCTCGGCAGTATTTCCTTTACCAGAACTGCTTAAGTCAACGAGACCACTGCAGGTCAGCAGCTATAAAATGGCCTTGATGCCATAGCACCCTAGTTTCCTTTCATAAGGATTTAACTCTAATTAACTTTGTAATATCCCCAAATGCTTCAAGTTAAGTTATGAGAGCAGCTTGGACCTTCGATAATGTTATTTAAAATGAATGGTTTCAAACAATAGACACTGAAGAGACTCTCCCTAATTTTCAAAGCAAACTTAAAATTCAGGATTTTAAACCTAGGTGTAATCTAAGAGAGAAATGAATGCAAAAGAAGATGAATTCTTAAAAAGTTGCATTTTAAAAGACTTAGAGTTTCTGGAATGTTACCTAATAAATGGCACCCTCAGGTCATTCATAGAATGAAGTGGTGCGTATATTCCTTGCTCATCCCACCACTTGTGAGCCAGGGCCAGGAAGGTTTTGACCTCACTGCTGTCCACAGTGTTTTGTGAAGTACTGTACAGTCTTGTCCAAGGGTACCTAAGAGGTGAAAACAAAGAGGCAAGCAAATACTGTTGTTTAAAAAAATGTAACATGGGACGTATTACGTAGAAAGAGATTTATAATTTATCAGATTCTAAATACATATGTTGCTCAATTTTGATGCTTTAAAACCAAGTTTTCTAATAATCACACTGCTTATAAATATATATATTCACAGATGAAATAAAACTCATTTGCTTTTGAAGTAAGTTTCAACTCAAAATGGGACTTTATAAAACTTGGCCTTCTGGGTCACATCTAGTAATAATAATAGCTACCATTTATTGAGCACTTACTAAATGCCAGGTACTATTTAAGAACTCTACATATATCATCTCATTTAATCCTTCTAACAACTCTACTAGGGGGGTACTATTATTATCCCTACTTTACAGATAAGAAAAGAGAGGCTCAGAGAGATTAAGTAAATGGTGGAGTCAGGATTTGAACCCAGGTGCCTCCATCTTCTTCACTCCATTTCTACTGCTGTATCCTAGTCCAAGTTTCCATTACCTCTTGCCTGAACTACTGTCCTAGCTTTCTAATTAGTCTGGCTGCTTCCTACCTCATCCCCTTCCAATCTGCTCTCCATGATGCATTCAGATGGATTGTTCCAAAATACAAATATCATCATGTTACTTCCCTGCATAAAATGCTTTCACGGCTTCTTAGTGCCATTAGAAAAAAGACCAAAATCCTTAGCATGACTTACAAAGTTCTGAATTATTTTGAACCCAGTTTCCTCTCTCTCCAAACTCACTTTGTACTACTTTCCTCATCCTTCCCGCTCCAGCTTTCTTTCTTTTCTTGGAACTGGCCATGATTGCTCTTTCCTCAGACACTTGTATATGTTGTTCCCTCTGTCTGAAACATTCTTCCTACAAACACCTAATTAATTCCTTCTCATTCTTCAGATCTTAAATTGAGTGGTTTTTTGTTGTTGTTGTTTTGTTTTGGGACAGGGTCTCGCTCTATCACCCAGGCTAGAGTGCAGTGGCATGATCACAGCTTACTGCAACCTCAAACTCCTGGGCTTAAATGATCTTTCCACCTTAGTCCACCAAGTAGTTAGAACTACAGGTGCACGCCACCATGCCAAGCTAATTAAAAAAAATTTTTTTGTAGAAATGGGGTTTCACTATTGCCCAGGCTGGTCTCAAACTCCTGGGCTCAAGCAATCCTCCCACCTCGGCTTCCCAAAGTGCTAGGGTTACTACTATAGGTGTGAGCTATTGCACCTGGCCAAATGGAGTGTTACCTAAGAAGTCTTCTCTGATCCTCGAAACTGGGTCATATTCCCCTATTTTAAATCCTGTACCACTTTATACTTCTTCATGAGCTGTGTGATTATTTGATCATGTCTGCCTCCCCACTAGACCATAAGCACTATGAAGGCAAGGCATGGACTGTTTTGCTTACCATTTTATTCCTAGTGACTAGTACAGTTCCTGCAACATAGTTGGTGCTCAGGAAACATTTATCAAATGAATAATCTGAAGGAAAAAGCCCAGAAAATTACATAATTTGCCTTAAAAAAAATTTTTTTAATCAAATGAGATCCAATAGAGACTAAGGGGTTAAACAGACATTACACTGAGTTCCATGTCATAGTATAGTATAGGAAAATCCTCTGAAGGTCTGCTTGGGTAAAAGGATAAGAAAGGATAAGAAGGATGTTGAGTGAGAAAAAAGGTAATACCATTCAAATTTTTACTATGTTTTTCTTAGCTACACATGGAAAGTACATTCTATATTCATTACTTTTTATTCTTTTAAGATTCAAATATTCTTCTTTAATATTATCTTAGGAATATTAGCCTTCTTTTCCATGCTTAATGTAAAGCCCTAGTAATTAAGGACTAATTTACAATAGATAACAGTAGGTGGTTGCTCATGTGACTAAGAATGATTTCATATACACCCAATCTCAAAGCTCACTTACAAGTGGGAGCATGCACTTAGAGCTCAAGTCTTAATTAATGCTATGCAATATTTTTCACATGATTAGAAATTGGTTTATAACATACAGAAAGACAAAACTTTGATTCAATTTTACTACCAAGAGTATATACTTATCCACCTTATCATATGTATGTTGCACCTAAATCATTTATGATTTTAAGCACTACATTATTTGTGTCTTGTCATAAGAAAACTATGAGGAAGTAAAAATACTTCTCCAAGTAATACAGTCTTATATTAAAAATAAAAGCTATCTGTGAATCTGGATGAAGGTTTTGTATGGTTGTATACTGTATTACTCTATCACCTTTTCTGTGGGCTTGAAATTTTCCAAATTTAAAAATTGTTAGAAATAAATTAGTTATGAATATTTAAATAAATAAAAGCTACTTTAATCAAACCACATGAGCTATTACATACTGGGGTTTTTAAACATAATCAATACTAAACTATTACATATAATTATGTAAATATTTGCCACAGTAATAAATAAACTCACCTGTAACTTTTCATTCTATTCAAACAGGAAAAGGTCATCCTATAGGATTTGAACCACATGTTTCTGTATTCATTGAAAACTCCTGGTTTAATTTCTAGAGTCCAACTGAGCTGATTCTTTGAATAAACTGAAAAAAAAATTAAATGTCTAGAGAAAAGCATTGCACAGTAAGAATCCCTGATAAACATGTAATTGAAGAAATTTTATAGGGTAATCTTATGTTACATTGCAATTGATAAGCAAAGGTTTTTTTTGTTTTTTTACTTCATTTTGGATTTAACTTTAAAAATAAAGGTCTTATGTTCTGCCATCTAATTCTAACGCAGACATTTCTGAAATTATAATTAGCGAAAACAAGTAATGCATATATATAAGCTTTTCATGCTATTAGTTTTTGCATTCACATTATGCAAAAAATTATGCTGCAAAAAATTACAAAGAATGACATTCAAATATAAGTTGTTACTTTTTAAACAAGAATAGTATTAGTTCTGAGATTAGTTGTCAAAACTAGCTCAAATTCTGTCAATTCCATGTTAGCTACATGAAATGGATTTTTACATATGCTCAATACCCTTTACGGGGGAAAAATGTGTATATATATATGACATCCTAAAATAAACATTCACAAAGTCTAGATGTTCAAACTTACGTATGGGACCTGCTTTATGAACCAGTTGCTCTGCTGCAGAATACTCAGTTTAATAAACATTTAGACAAAGTAGACTTTGGAGCAAAGAAAGGTACCAGAAACAAAGAGGGACATTATATCCACCAAGAAGACAAAGCAATCCTAAATGTGTATGTACCAAACAATGGCATTTCAAAACACATGAAACAAAAATTGACAGAATTGAAAGGCGAAATAAGTCAACAACCATAGTTGGGGACTTCAACATCCTCTCTCAGTAATTGAGACACTCTAAGAGGATATTCAGACACAAATAAACAAATAAAGAGATGTTTAATATCAATAGCCATTGGGGTTATGCAAATGAAAGCCATAGTTAGATACCACCACATACCTAACAAAACAGCTAAAATTCAAAAATCCTGATATTACCAAGTGTAGACCAGGATATTAACTAGATCTCTTATATTAATATATTGCTAGTAGGAATGTAAAATAGTATAGCCACTTTGGAAAGTGTTTAGCAATTTGGAAAGTAGTTTAGCAATTCCTAATAAAGTTAAACATACACTTACCATACAACTCAGCAATTGTACTCCCTGGGCTTTTATCCCAGAGAAGAAAAAACTTAAGTCAATACAAAACCTGTACATGAATGGTCATAGCATAAGAACCCCAAACTGGAAACAACAAAAATATCTACAATAGATGAATAGTTAAACAAACTGGTGTATTCATATCACGAAATAACTACCCAGAAATAAAAAGGAATGGACTATTGATACATGCAGCATCTTGGATGGATTTCAAAAGTATTTATGCTGAGAAAAAAAAAAATCTCAAAAGGTACATATGGTACAATTCCATTTACATAAGAAATGGCAAAATTATAGTTATGGAGAATAGATCAGTGATTGCCAAGGTTCAAGGTTAGAGGTAGGGTCTGACTATAAAGCAGTAGCACCAAGAAAAGTGATAAAGCACATATACACGTGTACACATGCATACACACACGCACAATGAGAGCAAGAAAGGTAGTGAAGTCCAAATAAGGCCTGTAGTTTAGTCCATAATATGATACTAATGTCGATCTCCTGGCTTTGACAATGTACTATGGTTGTATAAGATGTCATCACTGAGGAATTGGGTGAAGGGTATATGAAAATTTTCTGTGCTATCTTTGCAACTTCTTGTGAATCTTAAATTAGTTCAAAATTAAAAAAAAAAATCCAAACATATAAAAGGGTACACTATAAAGTATCTCTCCTACCCCTGACTGTAGCTATCCAATTTCTCTCCCTACGGGCAACCAATGTTACTAGATTTGTATGTAAGATTCCAGAGATATTTTATACATATGCAATCATTTTTAAGTATCCATTTCTCCCATTTTATATAGAATGTAGTGCAATATACACATTATTCTGCATGCCGCTTTTTCCACCTATCAATATATCTTAGAGGTTATTTCATAATATCGACTAAAGAACATCCTTTTTAAAAAAAGGCAGCTTGGTAATCCATTATATGGCTATATTATTTATTTAAGCAGTTCTCTGTTAATGGGCATTTAGGTTATTTCTAATATTTTGCTATTACCAAAACCACAAGATCAAATTACATGATAATTTCATATGCGTTTGAGAGTACCTGTAGGCAGAATGCCAAAAATTATATCAAAGGGTATGTGCATTTGTAAATTTGTAATTGCCGCCCACAGATGTTGAACCAATTTACAACTCCATGAGTAATACATCAGAGTGTCTAGTGCTGGTTTTCTCACACTGTCACCCATACAATGTGTTAATCAAATATTTTTATCCTCATTAATCAAATAGGTGGAAACGGTGTCTTATTGTAGTTTTAATTTATCATGAATGAGGTTAAATATCTTTTCTTTAGTTTAATAGTCATTTATATATCATGTCTTTTTGTAGTTTCTGCAGTTTTCTCCTGAGCTCTTTGTTTGTTTGGTTTTTCAGTAAGTCCTTCACAGCCTCTCCCAAATTCATTTCAATATTTTAAAAAGAAAAAAAAAAGTTCATGCTTCTAGGTTTTTGCTCATTTTATTCCCTGTTCAACCAACTCTATCTGTACTACCTTTTAAGACCCAGTTCAAATATTACCTCCTTTATGACTTTAGGTAGATAAATGAAATATTATTAAAGAATAAAGTTTACTTATATAAACTGCGATACATAGATAAGGGCATACAAAGCATCATTATTATGAAAATGAGCATCAGAGATGTTAACAGTATCTGCCCTCTTCTTAGTGACAACCTCTGATCTCCCTCTCTCACCTCCTCTATTTCTGGAAAATGAATTCCTCAGTCATCAGTTTTGCTAGAATTCTCAATAGCTTTAAAACCCACCTTACCACAACTGAAAGAGACTGAGTTCGCATTAATAAACAGAATGCTGAAGTAGGAAAATTTCAGTTGAGGAGTAAGAGTGGTGGCGGGAGCATTGTAATGCATGCAGGGAAGGCCGGCGTTAGTCCAGTCGGAGAGGAGGTACACGAGCTGTTGGTGGTGCTGTCATGGCCAGGGTGGCCAGTGCCTGGGCTGCCAGCACTCCGCGACAGGAGTTACTGTTAATAAATAAGGACTCTGCATTGATACTACCAATTACCTTTTCTGAGAACCCTTGCAAAGGAAGCTGGAGCCAGGTGGCTTACATAGACAAATTGGGAATTTGGAGCACCATAACATGGTGTGAGAAGTGAAATCGGATGCCTAATGCAGTATAGAAACTCCTGCCGGTAATGGACAAGAGAGCTTCAGGAATGAATGACTCACTGAAGTTGCTGCAGTGTAATGAGAATTTGCCATCCTCATCTGGATATAACTCCTGTGATGAGCACATGGAGTCTGATGACCTTCCTGAACTTCAGGCTGTTCAAAGTGATCCTACCCAATCTGCCATGTACCAGCTAAGTTCACATGTTTCACATCAAAAATATCGCAAGATCATATTGGAACCAAAACACCTCAGACATATCAGAAATACTGTGAAAATGAGGTAGATTGGCTAACAGAATTAGCAAATATTGTCACTAGTCCACAAAGTCCACTTAGGCAGTGCTCATTTTATTTAATACAACAGATCATCTCCTGTACACATCATAGCTACTAGCAAAGGTTTACATTCCTATGCATGCCCTTCACCAGTGTCCTCTTCTTCAAAGAGTGAGCAAGCCTTCCCTCATCACCACTGGAAGGAGGAAACACCAGTAAGATATGAAACGGCAAAGAGTGAGTCAGAATCTGGCATTTTCTGCATGTCCTCCCTGTCAGATAATGATGATTTGTGATGGTGCAATTCCTGGCCTTCAACTGTTTGGCACTGTTTTTTGAAAGGCACACAATTGTGCTTTCAAAAGGGAAGCAATAAGGAATGGCAGGATGGTGAAGATTTTGCTAGAGCTGAAAGTTGTGATAATGAGGAAGCTCTTCAAATGAGTGCTCACAAGGGCTATGGTTCTCATGGTCTAAAGTTATCACGTGAAGAAAGTGTATCATTGGTGAGTCAGTACTGAAGGTGACTGTTGACCTTGGTACAGTAGAAGATGGTTTATTTATCGCAGAGTGTAAGCTGGACCATCCTTTCTACGTTAAAAATAAAGGTCGGTCATCATCTTACCCACGCTTGACTGTGGTACAGCATGGATGCCATGTTGTGAAATTCATATTGGAGATGTATGTTTACCTCCTGCACACCCTGATTCCATTAATTTTGATGATTCAGGTGTTTTTGATACATTTAAAAGCTATGACTTCACATCTACGGATTCTGCTGCAGTTTATATGTTAAGTATATGGCTCATCATGTCATGTATCTTTGTCTTGTGGAGGACCTGGTGGTCAAGATTTTGCAAAATCTGGGTTCAGTAAAAACTGTGGCTCGCCTGGATCATCACAGCTCTCTTTGAATTCTTTATGTGCTAAAGCTGTCAAAAACCATAGCTCAGGGACTGAGTGCCACTTCTCCTACTAAGTGCAAAAGTCCAATGTATATCTCTATGCTTTTCGCCAAAAAATGCGGAGTTGAATATATTCAGATGTATCTAAGGAAAGATAATAGAGCCATAAATGTGATCCTGGGTGACAGGTGGAAGAAAATGAAGAATGAAGAGAGAAAGATGTACACACTAGAAGCAAAGGCTTTGGCTGAAGAACAGAAATGTGAAATATTTAAATCCTCACTGTTGGAAAAGAACCAACTCAGGTTCACAACAACATTAAACCAGGATGCTTATGTTCTTAACTCTGTGTTTGCATAAACATTAACTCTTGATGGAAAGACTTAAGAAGACCAAGGTCTCAGTATTTGTCCTGAATTTGTGTGACCATAATATACCAATAGCATTCAGTCTTGAAATGATTTAATAATATGAGTGAGGTTTTGCTTTCTCCATTACAGCATTAAGCTAAAATGATCAACACTGTAAACCAAATTGCCTTACTTTTCTTCCAAACTTCATATATGTCTATAGGGTAATATGGGCTTGAAAATTGATATCCTGTTGTAGTAAAGTACAGTAGAAAGAAGCGTATACATGTTTTAATTTAAATTGTACAAAAGGCGAATTAAAAAATATGTAACTGCTGTTTATACATTGGCTCCTTACTGCTTACTAATCTGTATTGAACACATGATGGAATGAAGCAGAAGCTGGGAGTAGGCCTCTCCTCAAGCAAACACCACATGGCTCAGCATCTGTGCCAAACGCAGGCAATCCTAGTGTGGCCAGTGCCAAGGGGCTACCAGAACATGTGGCAGGTGGCTGGTGTCAGCGTCCCAGTGTAACAGCCACCTGCTGCAGTTCCTATGGCATGCTGACTTTATGCACCAGGTGGCAGCAGCCATCCATTATTTCTAATGGAGACCTAGCCCAGGCCAAGATAAAGTTAGTTAATAGCACTGGGATGTAGTCACTGTAATGGTGCTATTAACAGTGGACATGATGGTATTTTTTAACTTTGTGTTCTATATCTCCTCTGCCACGTATCTTAAATATATTTTGTCATCAAATCTTTACGGTGGGGGCAGACTTCGCGCTTATTACAGTGCAACACTTGCACTTTACTTTTCATCCAACTGTCTAAAATTAGAGCAAATACATTGGTAATATAGCTGCTTTTGCTCTGAGCTACAATCATGGCTTTTCATCTTACTTACCAAGTGGTGTTTCTGGTTAGGAATCACAGCTGTAAAACCGACTTCATTACACTTCTTTGTGATGTTGCCCCTAAATTTTGCACATTATATTCTTGTATATTATTTCAAACAAAATGAAAAAAAAAAAAAAACCAACAACAAATCCAGAATGCTACCAATTCCTTCTCTACCTTGAATCTGTGTTCATGCTGGTATTTGAGATTTTTAACTTTTTTTCTTTTTTAGAGAAAGGGGGGTCTCACTATGTTGCCCCAGCTGGTCTTTTTTTTTTTTTTTTTAGTCTCACTGTGTTGCCCGGGCTAGAGTGCCGTGGCGTCAGCCTGGCTCACAGCAACCTCACGCTCCTGGGCTCAAGCAATCCTTCTGCCTCAGCCTCCCGAGTAGCTGGGACTACAGGCATGCGCCACCATGCCCGGCTAATTTTTTCTATATATTTTTAGTTGTCCGATTAATTTCTTTCTATTTTTAGTAGAGATGGGGTCTTGCTCTTGCTCAGGCTGGTTTTGAACTCCTCAGCTCCAAGGATCCACCCGCCTCGGCCTCCCAGAGTGCTAGGATTACAGGCGTGAGCCACCGCGCCCGGCCCCCCAGCTGGTCTTGAACTACTGGCCTCAAGACCAGTAGTTGAACTACCCACCTCAACCTCCAGAGTAGCTGGGATTACAGGTGTGACCCACCACACCCAGCAGTATCTGAGATTTTAAAGGAATGGGAAACATTTTTTTTCATTTAATTCATTCAAAAGTCATTTATTCAGGACCTATCATGCTAATAATGAACAAGACAGGCAACAGACCTTTACCCTGCCAACACCTTATTTCCAGCTATCATCATTTTTTGTCTGGATTACTCTAAAACTTCCCTAAACCTACACTTGGCTGTCTCCATACCAATTTCTACACAGCTGCTGTGTGTTATTTCTTAAACATATTATAAGTCTGATCATGCTGTTCCTTCAATAATTTCCACTGTCCTCAGGATAAAGTCAACCTCTGAAGGTGTACGTGGCCTTTTATGAACTTGTCACGGCCTAAAAGTTCTCTTATCTCATCCCTTGCCACTCCTGCCCTTACCTGCTGTCCTCCATCCACACACTTTACTTTCCAAGGAACACTGCAGTTTCCGACAAACTTTCTCACAGATTCTCAAGCTGGTCCTTTGGCCTCTCCAACTGCTTCTAAAACTGGCCAACTCCTTTAAGACATTTCTTTACATACCTCTTTCAAGAAGTTTTCCTGATCCCAAACATATTAGATGCTCCCTCTATGTTTACTCAACATTTGGAAATAATTTTATTGTATCTTTTCTAAATTTCTGTTTTAAAAAGACACATATGTTTACCAAAAAAAGTTCATAAAAAGAAAAGTATATAAAGGATGATAAAATGATAGAAAATCACCTACTCCACCACAAGCAATCACCACTAAAATTTTGGTCTAGCTCTATTCTCTATATATCTCCAAGTTCATAACACATACTGATTTGTATCTTATTTTCTTAACACTATAACCTAATTATTTTCCCATGTAGATACAAAAAGATTTAAATCATTTTTATTGGCTGCACTATTTTTCACTATATTAGTATTAACTAATAAACTCCATTGGTGGGCTATTAAGAGTTCTCTTTTGCTCATTATATCCTGATCTTAGCTCTATCCTAACATTTTTTTAAAGAGACCCTTCAGGTATCATTCATTTTTAAATTCCCATTGACCATAACTGTGCCTGGCATACAGTATTTGCTAAATGAGTTTCATGTAAAGGATAAACTTAACTTTCTGGTTAATACTGGGCGTTCGAAAATCAGACTGTCGTCTACAAGCACCAAGTGCAGTGCGTTATTTTCTTGATCTTATTTGCAAATATAGTCTGTTGAATTAACCTGTCAATCCAAAAGTAGTATAGCTGCCTTAAATTCTTTCCGAAAAAAGCAGGATATGTGCAAACAAAATACAAATACAAAGCCATGAATAACTATGAGAGACGCGTATCCTTCCCGCCCTGGCAAAGGAACAAAGCATGACCTTGAGACTCAGGCATACACAGAGCAGAGTCACCGGCTCCTGGGGCAAGGAGCTCAACCAAAATGAGACATGTCGCTGGATACACGGCGGCTGCCCGCGGCCTGCACTCTCCCGGGCCAGGACCACTAGTTCTCAGCTCTTTTTCCTGGCCTCTTGCGGAGGAGAGCACCGTAGCCCAGACCGGGAATTCAACGGAGAGCGAGAGCCAGGAGAAACGCCGCAGGTTTGCACTCCTTGCGGAGCCGAGACCACAACCCACCGCCCTCCCCCGCGCCTGCGCAGATCCGCCAGCCCCACAGTCAACTGCGAGCGAGGGACTTCTGTACACACACTCACCAGCCGAGGAGATCAAGCGAGGACCCTTGGTTTGTGAGCTCCTGCAACCAGGCCCAAGCACTCCTAAAAAACGACCCCCGAAGTAGCTCAGTTTGCCGCCTCCCCACATCGCGACAAAGTATCCCAACCCTTTCCGGTCCCTCCGGCAAAAGATCCCCAGCAGGAAGGTTCCGAGACCCACTCCGTCTGCAGCCGACTTTTTTTGAGTATTATCATGTATGTGTGGCTATTGTTCCTTTCACGCTCAACATCTAGCAAATTGTGCACGCCATGAAACTATGTTTCTATTACTATGAACGACCTTGAAGATCCTCTGTTAGGCCAATTCATATGTAAACACCTAAACCTCGTGGTCAAAGTAGACAACAATCATGCCGTGACTGTTACGTGGTCTTTTATTCCCATATAGCCTTATTTCATATTTACCAGCTGTCTTCTCACGGACATTTATATTCCTGTAAAACACTGATCGTAACGCTTAGAATCACAAAAGTAGGGAAGTGCTTCTTCCCTAGGGGTAGTGTAGTTTAACCTTTCAAGTCACTCAAATATCACAGAGGGTTGATAGTCCAAATTTAAAATTTATTTTCTGCAAGTGACCTAACATCCTGGACAATGTATACATCATGTACTAGGAGACTGTTATCACTCAGTCTAGGCAAACTTCATTTAGAGTTAGGAACAGTGATGCAACATTTTACTTCAAAATGTGCAAAAAGCCTTTCCTTGGGTAAGAACAATGACAAATCTCCAACAATGAAGGCAAAAAATCATTTTATATTTTCAACAGGCAGGGTCAAATTAGTAAAGCTCTCTTCGAATTAGTGAAATTTACTACTCAGGAAGTCTTTCATTTATGGCTCCTTAGCTAAAATATTGACCTCCTCCTAAGAGTGGTTGTAGACTTTTCAGTTGCTATGTCCTCTTCAGAGCTTCTCTCTCCTTAGATACATGACCATCTCTCCAAATGAAGGCAGAAAGCTCTGCACAAAAGAAAATTTAGCACGTGTTATATTTATTTGTTGGAGTGACAGATCCAAGGAAAAAGCAAAATGCGAGTATGATTAAATAAAGTTCTAAGAGCTTTATTTAAACGTATTTTCTTTGAATATACCACACCTCACTGGGCTTCAGAGCCTTCTCACTTCATTTTCAGTTTAACAAGAAAAGGGAATCAGTGACTTGCTTTAACACTGACAGGCAGCAAAGGCCATTTGAACCTCTAGAACTAGTTTGACACAGCTATGCAAAACTAGTTCATAGTACTTTTCTCTATAAACATCAACAAAAGGTTTTCCCAGTGACCCTTAAACCTGAGCTATGTTGTAGAGTCTTGTTGGCTGTAATGCAGTATATAGCCATCGCTGGAGATTATTTCCCAGACTACTGCTGTAGTCTCACCCATAAAGGTGTTGTAAACTAGAGTCTACATATTTCTTTTACTATAAAACTCTAACACCTATTTAATATTTTGTAATTCAATTTTATAATTTCATATACATAAACTTTTTCATTTAAGTTAAGGGCATACTACTTTCTTACAGCTGTTTTGTCCCTTTTAAGTGATATGCTACTACATCCACTCAGTTTAACTGGTAAGTTTTCTTACTCAAAAATTCTACATAAATTGGTAACTTAGGGTAATTTTATCATAACTTATACTATCATAATTAGAATGTGGCAGATTTAACCAATGTGTGTTTACAAAAACCTCTATGGATGGTATCTGATAAACCGTATAAATATTAACATAACTCACATGTGTGCTATTTTAAGAGCTAATTAAAAACCCACTTGCTCTTTTAGGTTTCAGACAGTACAACTAATTCTACTTAAAACTGAAGAACTTAAGGGCTAGACATGTCCAAGACCTTCAAGATAAATTCCTCCCTTATACAGTTGAAGAAGTTGAGGCCTACAGTGATTTAGGGACTTGCCTAAGACACATCAAGTAGCAAAGCCAGGTCAATCCAATACACTTCCATTAAACTATACAGTCATGTGTCACTTAATGATGGGGATAGGTTCTGAGAAACATGTTGTTAGGCAATTTTGTTGTAGTGGAACATCACAGAGTGTACTTACACAAACCTAGATGGTATATATGCTATAGGGTATATAGTCTATTGCTCCTAGGATACAAACCTGTACGGCATGTTACTATACTTAATACTGTAGACAACTGTAACACAATATTAAGTATTTGTGTACCTAAACATAAAAAAGGTATAGTAAAAATACCATATGATAATCTTATGGAACCACCATTGTATATGCAGCCCATCATTGACTGAAACATCATTATGTGCTGCATGACTGTACTTAGTACATTTTAGAAACTTAAAACACATTGTAATTTGTGTAAGAGAAGAAAAACTCAGTTTAAATGTAAAGATTTCCATAAGGCAATGCTATAGGGACTTGGGACCTAATATGTCTCCTATGTAAAAATTCCCAAATAAAAAATTCTCTCCTACTATTACAATTCATGTGTTTTTTTTAAAGAAGCAAAATAACTCAGACACTAAAAATAGACTATGCTTCGGAAATTTACCTATTTGGGATTACAACATTAAAAACATATGCTAAAAAAGACATTTTACAATGGCAGAAAACATACACTAATGAGATTCCACACCAATCTTTATTTATATTTTGGGGCCTGAAACAAATCTTATAATTACCTCTTCCAAATTACATTTTATTTCATTAATGGTGTGGTTTACTCCCACTCCACAAAAACAAGTATGATTAATACACTAGAAATATTTTAAGGAAAATCTCTTGAAGAAGACATTTATATTAACGAATCCAGACCAATGATTGTCTCAAAAATTGAATCTATTAATTTTCTGGTGGTGTCATTTTAGGAAAAGATTTCATAACCAAATCATACATCTAATTAACTTATGTAAGTTTTAGCATTCACATTCTAAATCACGGAAGCCCTATTTTATAAGATCTTACAAGGTAAATACTACATTACATGTCAAGGAAATAATGAATTTTCTAAATTTTCAATAAAAATCTGAAAAACTCAAATTATAACACTAATGTATCCATTAATAATCACAAACATAACAGTTTAAAAAAATCTACAGATTTAAATGTTGAGAAGTTTGCAAATTACGGCAGAGTAAATAAAACTGTCAAATACTACTTTTGGATCTAGTTTATATATTGCCCAAAAATGTGCATATCATAGCCAAAAGAATTTTTCCGTAGAATTTTATTTTGAAAATATTTCACTTCAAGATTGATCTAAAAAACATTTTAAGATATGAAAATGTTATACAACTTATCTATTACAAATTAATTAGATAATTCTGCAATAGGTACACTGTTAGCTCACCTACATAAAAAATATTGCACATTTTCCTTTATTTTGTTTCCAGATGTGACTGATGTCTAAACTACATAGAATTCCAAACTATTTTAAAGTTATTCTGTGAAATGTCATCTTTATAAATATCAGAACTAAATGCACTGTAAACAGCCATTTTGGTAAACATGCATTTATTCACAGTTGATTTATTTACTTTAGATAAATGCGTAACTATTCAAAATTATGTAAGAACCTATGTAGAGGTACAAGAGCACACTATACAAATCTCTATTTCTATCTTCATTTTGAGGAAACACTGATTTTGGCAAAAATCTGGCATTATTTTTAAAATGAACTATTGCTGGTAAAAAGGCATACTTTAAAACTTTTCTGTGTCCTGCACCTGCTGTTTTTCGTTTTAAATTAAAACTTAAAAGCGTTTATTTTCAGAGATTCATCTATCACTGCATAAGTGAATAATCATATAAAAAAGGACCCTGAAAGCAGCTGATCACTTAAGTTAAAATGCTTTGAGAGGCCCATTCTACTCATAAGTTATGAATGCCTAAAACTGCTAAAGCACTCATTGATCATAATTTGAAGAAACTGATAAAATCAGAGTATTTTAATGTTAAGAAATTGACACAAACCTGCATAATACAGCATTCCTCCAATGAGTTGAGGTCATATTATACTTTAAAAATATAAATAAATATATTGAATTGTGAGTCTTATTTCTATAATAACCCCAAAGTGTTTAAATATGCTTTTAAAACAGAAGTGGGTGACTGCAGAATATAGTTTCAGACTTGACTATTAGTGTCAAACATGATCATTCTTTACAAATAACTCTACGGGTGCACAGGCTTGATTGATCGCAGTGATTTCATTTTACAGGAGTGAACCATACTTTACACACAAAGAATATATTACTTGAAAATCCTCAAAATAGAAAGGAAATGTTTAGAAAGCTGTCAAATGCTTCCAAATGAAAAGTAAAGGTCTATTTCTAGCCCTCTTCCACACCCTTAAAGTTGGAATTTGACAAAAGTCCAGGGGTACAATTTACAAACTCTGACAAACTATTAAGTTAAAACCATTTTCTTTGGGGGAGGTGAGAGAAAGTACCTTTAAAACCTGTTATACAAAATTCCAGCTGCCTTTTTATAAAAGTACGTTCCTTAGATTAAAATCATAAAATTAAGGTGCAAGAGTTTAACAAAAATGAACTAAAGAGCTTTATTGACATCACAGTACATTCAAGAATAATTTTAAGAACATTACAGCTGAAAGAGAATGGCATGTTTATAGTCTTATTATGCACTATTTTTTTTTTTTTGAAAAAAATGAATACAAAGAAATCCTATTAAGTAACTTGGAGCAGCATTGAAAAAAGTACACCTATTTACAGATTAAAAAAAAAAAGATTCTGGTTTCACCTACACAGCCACAATGTGCCTCTATAATGAGACAAGCCCTTAAAACTCATGGAATTTTTTTAAACAACATCATGGCATTCTTGCCACATCATTCCTCAGCGCTTACGACGGGGAGGGGTTGTTGATCTGAAAAAAAAAGGGAAAAGACAAAATTTAAAAATAAAAATGTATTTTAAACAAAAAATCCGCAATTTTAAATAAATAATATTATATAGGATTTCTAACATTATTTAAGACTATGATCATTTATAAAATACCAAACTGAGTTTATTAAAGAGAGAGAGAAAGGACACTTTCAACTTTGAATAAATTCAGTCAAATTTTTTAAAAAATCAGACAAAATAC